CTCTTTTACTTGCCGATAGATCTATAAACGTGCCTAGAGGAATAATTGAAGATGTGTAGTACAAGTCAATAAATTCATTTATCCTGTGGATTTTATTGTCTTGGACACAGAACCTGTTGAAGCATGTAATTCATTTCCTGTTATTTTAGGACGTCCGTTTCTTGCAACCTCTAACGCATTGATTAATTGTAGGAATGGATTGATGAAGCTATCATTTGGAAACATGACATTGGAGATGAATATTTTCAACATTTACAAGCAGCCTGGAGATGATAATGAGTTAGATGAATCTGAAGATTTGCAAATGATTTATTCTAAGGAAGAAATCATGGATGAAACAAGCACCGAAAATGTTGATGCGAATCTTTTGTCAACAGTGACAATAGATTCGACATCTGACATAACACCAATCGATGATTACTTTCCTAACGAATCCTTACTTTCTCTTAGTCCAATGCCTTGGTATGATAAAAATATTAATTTTCTTGCTTTAGGAGATTTGTCAACTGATTGGAGTAATCAAGACAAAGAAAAGTTTTTGAACGAAGTGAAGAATTTTTATTGTGATGACCCTAACTTATTCAAATATTTTCCTGATCAAATATTTCAAAGATTCATTCTCGGCAATGAGGTAAGTAGTGTCATTAAACTTTGTCATTCTGAAGCATGTGGAAGTTATTTCTCATCAAAAAAGACAGCTACAAAAATCTTTCAAAATGGATTTTATTGGCCCACCATGTTCAAGGACGCGCATGCATTCTGCAAAACTTGTGAAAATTGTCAAAAGATTGATACTGGTCAAAAAGTTTTGTTTTATAATTCTCAACTCTATGCATTCCCTAGAGAGCTAAGACCAAGATGGAGCAATCCTTATGGGGCCTATGATATTGAGAATTCAATGAATAACAATGATTTTAAGGAAAATGGGCATCGTTTGAAAGCTTACTTTGATAAGTTTCCTAGTGAAAATGAATCAACTGGTTGGAATGATCTTGTAGATAAAGGATGATTATTTTGTTTTTCTCACAATGTTTTTGTGTTTCTTTTTGAGTGATTTTTGCTAGTTTCTCTCACCCCAGTCAAATGGCGGACAACGGTACTCCGTGACTTAAGTCGGTTCTTTTAGTTTCCCAAATAACTGATATTTGTGTATATATTTGTGCAATTCTTTGAATCTCTCTTCCAATTCTCATTTGATAATGGACACTAATCTTGAAAAATTGAAAAAGTATTTTCCCGTTCTGCCTCAGAATGCGATTACAAAAATTTACCGTGCTAGATGTGCAAGATTATCAGGTGAGTCCTCTAATTTTCTCATTTCACACATGCCTGGAACAGGTAAAAGCACTTTTGCAAAGAAACGTCGTGCAAAACGACTAGAAGTCTGTCATCGATGTGCTAGATGGACTTGTAATACACAATGTCGTTCTTTAGGAATGGTATCTATAAACCGTGAAGATAAAATTCAATTCATTAAGGATGGCCTGAGTAAGGAGTGTTTAGATAATCTTCTATGGACTCTTGAGACGCATCCTAGTGGAGATGTGCATCGTGCAATTCATGATTTATGGTCACTATTTCATAAAGAACATGATCGACTTAGTCTTGGGAATCTGACTAAAAAAGACCCTGTTTGCCAGTTTTTAAGAAAACTAGATGGGAAGCCTATCCCCGACCCATAGAGGGCGTTTAAGCCGTTCTTGGACGTAAAACCAAGGGAAGATGTGAGCCACAATCACAACTACCTGTACATACACATGCTTTTTAAAAAATAAATAAATAAATAAAGAGAGAGAGAGTGTGTGTGAGACTCCAGCTGGCCTACATATAGGTGTAAGACTCCAGCTGGCCTACATATAGGTGTTACGATTGCCTTTCTAATTTCTCATCTATAAAACCCTCTCTTCCTTCCTTTCATTTTTACTCAACCCATACATTCAACAAATACAGAAGTGTGTAGAAATGGCAAGTTCCTCAGGTCATCATATAAGAAATATTTGTGTTTTCGGTGGATCTAATCCTAGGAAAGAAAAGGAGTTTTTAGAATCAGCAAATCATCTTGGTCAAATGCTAGCTGAGAGAAAGATTCATTTAGTGTATGAGGGAGGCAGTCTTGGGTTAATGGGAGGCGTGTCAATAGCTGCATTTTTAGGAGGTAGTCAAGTTTTGGGGGTCGTCCCCGAAGCTTTAGCACAAGGGGACATCATTGGAAAAACAATTGGAGAGGAACTTTAGGTCTCCACAATGTCAGCTCGAATGAATGCAATGTTTAACCATGCTGATGCCTTCATTGCTTTACCAGGTGGTCTAGGTACATTGGAAGAGATCTTTCATATTTCCTCTTGGGCTCAACTGCACATTCACTATAAACCCATAGGTTTGTTAAATGTTAATGGTTATTATGATAAGTTATTGTCTTTTCATGATCATGCTATGGAACAGGAATTTCTAACATCTTCTGCACGACAAATCATAATCTCTGCTGCTACTGCTGAATAATTAATTGACCAACTACAGTCCTTCATTCCTGTAATTGATCCTTCCATGAATCGCATAAATTGGTCATCTAAGGAAAGCCGTAAAAAGCTTAGATTAGATTTGAGTCTTCATTTGTAATTTTTGTGTTGTTTTGTTTTATTATTGTGTTTTGGTATTACTTATTTTTGTTTAAGTGTGTTTCAGGTTTGTCAATGTTCGTTATTTCAGGTGATATCTTCTATACTCTATCTTTCTACCTTAGAACATTGAGGACAATGTCTCGTTTTGGTTGGGGGGAGAGGGTAGTAGTTGATATAAAAAAAAAATTATTTTCCATTTCATAATGCATGTGCATAATTGTTGTTACTAGGATGGCAGAGTAAAGGAGCTCTTTTGTTAAAGTGACTCTTGAGACGCATCTTAGTAACCATTCTATTATAATACTTCTTGAAATATTTAGATTTACAAACTCTCGCATTGTTATCACTTAATTCTGCTCTTATACTTATTTAACATGTATTCTTAAACCTTAATTTTCACACACACTTTAACATATGATTGTGGGTTACATATTGGATTATTACATTATTTATGTTCTCTTGTTAAAGGTAACAACTAAGGGAAAGGGATTGTATATAATTAAAAAAAAAAGAAAAAAAATGATAATAATAAAAATATGGATAAGTTTGGTTTCGTAGCCTCCCTAACCTAAGCAATTAAGCACGAAGGGTTGTTTTAACACCTAATACCCTAAAGTCAACTGACTTGGGAGCTATTGGCCCAACGCTTGTTACATAGGTTGAGGAGAAAAGCTTAAGGGAATCAAACATTGCACTATCTACATACTAGTATCTGCGACCCGAGTTACTAAGCTCGTAGGGGTGTCTTAACACCTAATGCCCTAAGACCAACTGGTTTGGGAGTCGTTAGCTGAAAGCTCGTTACATGGGTTAAAGATGCATGGTGTTTTTAAATTATATGTATATATATTTAAAAACAAAAAGAAGACAAAAATAATAATCCCAACCCAAGGAAGATAACCTTAACCATTAGAACAAAAATTTTGTTTTCTTCTAAGAAAAGCACTATAATTATGTGTTGATACATTGAGCATAAAAGAAAGGTTTATGAATATCTTATTAAGAGGTATTGAGCAGATATATAAATTTAATGAGAGTTTGTTTATCTGGATAGATTAATGGAAGTTAAATGATGAATACCTTGCTTTGTGGGATTTGCAAATTGTTTTTCTATTTTAACGCTTTGATTACTAGGGACTTGTAATAAGCTGGTTGGGGGGTGTGATTAGTACTTTAAAGTGCATTTTTATCATGGTTTTATATCATCATTTTGCACTTAAAGTATCAATAACTCCTTAACTAAAGCATGTTTTATAATAATATATCTAATAATATAAGATATCTTTAATTTGTGGTAAATGTTCATTTTAAATGCAGGCCTATCACATAAATGAAAGGATTGATTGATGACTTTAAGAACTTAAATTGCAAGGGCAAAGAGATGACCAAAATTAGAAAAGAGATGTCGGTGCAATCAAACCGGAATACTGTTCGGTAATTGGGTCATATCTGGAGCTATAGATCTCAGATTTAGGTCTACTTTATATGGATGGAAAGGTAAGACATAGGCCTACAACTTTCATATGGAGCCCAAGATCTAAAAAGGCCATTTTGAAGTCAAAATTATTGCAACAACAAAAAAGCCCGAAGTTGTCCTCCAGCCCAAGCATTGTTCAGTATTTTGGCCATATCTGGAGTTCTAGAAGTGCAAATGAGCTGAAATTTTTACACAAGAAAGCTGAGACAATTGTCTAAAACTTTCATATCAAGTGGCTCCAATTTTGACGTTATCAATGACGTTTTGGGTAGACAAGAGAAGATAAGGATTGTCACTAAGTCAAGAGTTGGCTACCCACTCATCAATTAGTCATCAAATCAATAGTTCCCAATTTTGGCCTATAAAAGGAGGCATTTGCCATGCATTTAGGCATCTTGGTTTCCAGATCAAGATCATGTTTTTCCTTTCTCTCTTTGTATTTTTTGTAATGTTTATGCTTTGCTTTCATTAATATCAAGTTTATGCCTTTCATTTCCTTTCCTTTACTTAGTTAACTTTTATCTTATTTATGTTATAACTATCAAATAATTGAAGGTAAGAAAGAGATGAACACAGTAGAAAAGAAAAATCATGGTTGGTCCTCCAGAAAAAGGTGATAAGAATCCTCCTTTTTGATTGTCTTTCTTATACCGTATGTATAACATTATCACCATGAAATGTTCTTGAGGCAATTGTTGGTGGGAGGAGGGTTATAATTGGCATCATAAGTTCTGTAAATGCCTGTCGTATAGTTCCTCATCGTTGCCATCCAGCAAGATGCAGGCCGTAGGATGGATGGACTTTTGTAGTTAGACATGACGGAGGATGAATGATCAATGGCCATAGTCATCTGATATTTGTGCTAGAAAACAGAAACTATCCTAACCCTATCCAGATACTGTGTTCTCTTCCCGCATTAGCAAACTTTGTGAAAAGGTTTGGGGACCCTTTGGACACACCATCAAAAGATGCCTTCAAAATAATGCAGATCAAAAAGAAACAACGGAGCAAAAGTGAAAATAATGAGTGTGGGGAGGGAGATGGAGAGGTTTCCCTCTGTTAGGGTCCAGGAATCTAGAGCAAGAAAAGAAAATAAGACAATGTGGGGGCGGGGATGGAGATGGAGAAGTGAGCTTGCAACTTCTTGAGAAAGAATTCAGGTAGATTAAACCTACAGAAGAACCCTCATGATTAAAACTCAGCAATATTTAAAGAAGAAATATAAGATGCTGTGTGGATTTAGTATTATGCAAAAAGCAAGCTCACTGATGCGTAAAGGGAGAATCAATCTGCTTTACCTGGGAAAAGGAGAATTTATCAAATTGCTTGCCTTTTAGGCTGAAAGACCAGACAGACCAGACAATCTCCATTGTTGTAATGGACCTGCCTGATACCTTGAAAAAAGGAGAGAACCTATTGGAAGGAAGGAAGGAAGGATTGCCTCTAGAAAAACCTTCAATGAGTTTCAAGAATGAAGTGATCACTTAGAACACAGAATTCATCCCCCATCGAAGAAAATCATCACAACCACACACATAAACTTACAAATGTTCAACGTGCCCACCAGAATCAGCCTCTATCAAAGATACATGAACGTAAATGACATAGGGGGGCCACCTCATTACCACCAAAACAACACTTAGCTCTCTTTCCTTCATATGTTTGTCTTCGTACTCCAAAATGAGCACCGCATCTCCACCCACCTCCCCACCCTTCTCTCCACCTATCTTCCATTCCCTTTCCTACCATTCATTTCTTTCTTCTCCTTTAATCCAGCTCTTTCACCACCCACTACCTCTATTCCTTTCATTTTAGCTATCAAATTATTGTCCAAGTAGATTTCACAAACCCCCTCAACCCTCCCCCTCAAACTACCATCACGCCATGGCCAAACTAGTAGTAGAAGTTCATGATGCATGTGACCTTATGCCCAAAGACGGCCAAGGTTCAGCCAGTCCTTTTGTGGAAGTACACTTCGATGAACAAAGCCATAGGACTCAAACCAAGCCTAGAGAACTTAACCCTGTTTGGAATGAAAAGTTTTCTTTCAATGTTAACAATCCAAGATATCTTCCCAGCAAGACCATTGAAGTTGTTGTGTACAATGATCGAAAAGGCGGTCACCACAAGAACTTTCTTGGCCATGTTAGAATCTCTGGAAATTCTGTGCCTTTATTATCTGACTCCGAGACCATTGATCTTCAGAGATACCCTCTTGAGAAACGTGGCCTTTTCTCGCATATCAAAGGTGATATATCACTCAAGATTTATGCAGTCCATGATGGTAGCCACTATCCTCCTCCAAATGCTGGCAATTTTGTAACTGAAGCAACTCCAGTATTCCAAGAAATTCCTCCAACAAATGCTGGCAATTTTGGAACTGAAGCAACTCCAGTATTCCAAGAAATCAACACCAACAAGCTTCAAGAAGAAGATGCCATTGATGATCATGAGAAGAAGAATAAGAAGAAAAGGAAGGATAAAGAAGTTAGGACTTTTCATTCTATAGGGACTGCAACTGGAGGTCCTGCCGCTGCCGCTCCACCTCTTGTATCTTCCGGGTTCGGGTTTGAGACTCATGTTATGAAAGAAAAGGCTCCTACAGTTGAGACAAGAACTGATTTTGCTCGAGCTGGGCCACCTACTGCAATGCATATGCATATGCCAAAGCAGAATCCGGAATTCTTGCTGGTAGAGACCAGTCCACCGGTTGCTGCCCGTATGCGATACAGAGGAGGGGACAAGATGGCATATGCTTATGATTTGGTGGAGCAGATGCGTTACTTGTATGTGAGTGTGGTTAAGGCCAAAGATCTTCCTGCTATGGATGTTTCTGGGAGTCTTGATCCATACGTTGAAGTCAAGCTTGGGAACTATAAAGGCAAGACTAAATACTTGGAGAAGAACCAAAGCCCGGTTTGGAAGCAAATTTTTGCATTCTCAAAGGATAGATTGCAGTCCAATTTACTTGAAGTTACGGTGAAGGATAAGGATTTTGTCACCAAGGATGATTTTGTGGGCAGAGTGTTTTTTGATTTATCTGAAGTGCCTCTTCGCGTGCCCCCAGATAGTCCACTGGCTCCTCAGTGGTACAGATTGGAGGACAAGAGGGGGATAAAGACAAAAGGAGAGATTATGCTTGCAGTTTGGATGGGAACACAGGCTGATGAGTCATTTCCTGAAGCGTGGCATAGTGATGCTCATGACATTAGTCATACAAACCTCGCCAACACACGATCGAAGATATACTTTTCGCCGAAGCTGTATTACCTTAGAGTTCAAATCATTGAAGCTCAAGATCTTATCCCCTCCGATAAGGGTCGCATGCTGGAAGTGTTCGTAAAAGTTCAACTTGGTAATCAGGGAAGGGTCACTAGGTCTTTGCAGACGCGAAGCATCAATCCAATTTGGAATGATGAGCTAATGTTTGTTGCATCTGAGCCTTTTGAGGATTTTATAATTGTGTCTGTTGAGGACAGGATAGGACCAGGCAAGGATGAGATACTTGGAAGGGTGATTTTATCAGTTAGGGACATCCCAGCAAGACTCGAGACTCACAAGTTCCCGGATCCTTGCTGGTTTAATCTCTTCAAGCCTTCGTTGGCACAAGAGGAAGGTGAGAAGAAGAAAGAGAAATTCTCAAGCAAGATCCTGCTCCGTCTCTGTTTAGATGCAGGGTATCATGTTCTTGACGAGTCTACACATTTTAGCAGTGATCTACAACCATCATCCAAGCACCTCAGGAAGCCAAGTATTGGTATCCTTGAACTTGGGATTCTCAGTGCACGAAATTTGCTACCAATGAAGGGGAAGGATGGTAGGACCACTGATGCATATTGTGCGGCGAAGTATGGCAACAAATGGGTTCGAACCAGGACAATTCTCGATACTCTGAATCCTCGTTGGAATGAACAGTATACTTGGGAAGTTTATGATCCTTGCACTGTGATCACCCTCGGTGTCTTTGACAATTGCCATATTAATGGAAGCAAAGATGATTCAAGAGATCAGAGAATTGGGAAGATAAGGATTCGGCTATCAACATTGGAAACTGATCGAAAATATACACATTACTATCCGTTGCTAGTTCTTACCCCCTCTGGATTAAGGAAGCATGGGGAACTTCAGCTGGCATTGAGGTTTACATGCACAGCTTGGGTTAATATGGTGACTCAATATGGCAAGCCATTGCTTCCTAAAATGCATTATGTCCAACCAATTTCGGTTATGCACACTGATTTGCTTCGCCACCATGCTATGCAGATAGTGGCGGCAAGGCTATCAAGAGCTGAGCCACCTCTTAGACGTGAGGTTGTGGAGTACATGTTGGATGTGGATTACCATAAGTGGAGCTTGAGGAGAAGCAAAGCTAATTTTCTTCGCATAATGTCGCTGCTTTCAGGGATCACTGCTGCCTGTAAATGGTACAATGACATTTGCAACTGGAGAAATCCAATAACAACATGTCTCGTGCACCTTCTGTTATTTATACTGATTTGTTATCCAGAGTTGATACTGCCCACAATTTTCCTCTATCTCTTTGCGATTGGGTTATGGAATTATCGGTTCAGGCCAAGGCACCCACCACACATGGATACTAGGCTTTCACAGGCACACAATGCGCATCCAGATGAACTTGATGAGGAATTTGATTCATTCCCAGCATCCCGGTCACCATCAGATATTGTGAGGATGAGATATGATAGGCTGAGAAGTGTTGCAGGTAGGGTGCAGACAGTGGTCGGAGATGTGGCAAGCCAGGGGGAAAGAGCTCAGGCACTACTAAGTTGGAGGGACCCAAGGGCGACGGCAATCTTTATCCTCTTTTCATTAATCTGGGCAGTGTTTATTTATGTCACTCCATTCCAGGTAGTGGCAGTGCTGGTTGGACTCTACTTGCTTCGACATCCCAGGTTCAGGAGCAAGATGCCCACTGTGCCCGTCAACTTCTTCAAGAGATTGCCGTCCAAAACAGATATGTTACTATGATGAATTGGAAGCTATTATAACTTAAAACTCCTTATTTGCTTGATTCTGGTCGAGGAAAGATGATCCAGTAAATAATTCCATCAATGTCATGACAGCAGGAAAGCACCTAGGTTCATTCTCCCCTGACAACCCACTCCGCAAAAGAATCTTACTTTCGCTGAATATGCATGCCCCACATTTCTTCAGTCCCATGCATGGAATCCCACTATTCTTTTTTCTCTTTATTCCATATTCTGTACTATTAATAAGCAATCATATTTTGTATTTCATGAATCATATGCAACGCCCCCAAAAAGTTAGCGAAACAAAAATGATGGCTACACACTGAAGCAGCTTCAAAGATCAAGCAGTGGATCTGTATGAACAAGCGGATCTGCTTAAGCATGTAAATCATTCCAAGAGAAAGGAGTGCATTCCACAATTCCCAAAGAATTGGCAATCCAAAGTAGAGTTGTGCTATCCCCTCGATAACATTGGAACAGAACTCTTGCCATTTACAAAACAAGAATTTCCATACGTGTCAAATCTTCTATGAAGATGACCCCCCAAAAAAACAGGACAAGTTACAAATATATAGTTGACTAGGATGACACGGTCCTAAATCCAACATGTATTAGTGAGGCTACAACAGTAAAAAAGCTGACAATTAATCCTCCTAGAAGTGTCCTATCCACAACACCCAATCACCCGCTCCTTTGGCCCAGTCTTGCTTCTTTTTTGGATCCCGAGGCAGTACCATTCACCGCCATTTTTTGTGACTGATTTTCCCACTTTCTTAGGAACCATCCAATGAGATTTCTTTTGTTTCGGTCTTCTGGCAGCATGCCATTCTGAGAAATGTTACTTTGCTCTAAAGTAGTCGGTCCTACACAGCTCTCTGATCCCCACAAGCACAAGCTTCTGTCTCTCTTGAATATTCACAACACTCACATGGGTCAGAACAGGGAGAACATTTGTACTCGAGTGTTTTCTCCACCGACTTCGTTTTCTGATTTATTTGGTGGAGAGTCTCAATTAGTGACCACCTTCCAACAGAGGTTATCTTGACAATAGCTGAAGCACCAAGCATGCTTTCTGGAGCAACTATGAGAACCTGCTTGTATGCTTTTGTGTGGCCAACCTAGGGAAATGAAAAAAACTAATCAGAAAAGTGAAATAAGAGGTCGAATCATAAACTAAGAAAGCTCGCCATTCAGTTCCAGGAAAAAGAGAGAGAGAGAGAGAGAAGAAGAAGAAGAAGAAGCAAGTGTCCTGTTTGAACTGAGCCAAAAAAGAGAGGGGCTCTCATTTTTAAGTCGGTGCAAGCAAGTTGGTTTCAAAAGAAATGAGAAACAAATAAGAACATTCAAAACATATCAGAGAAGGATTAACATGCAATCCTAGTAGCCTTTTCATGACCACCTAGATCCAATTTATTAGACAATAAAATATAAACAGCAACTTGGCCTTAGGAACGAGAGTGTTTCATTTAGATATTTCTATGTCAACAAGTGAATTCCATCTGTTGCGATCTGTTATCCATATTCTTTCCACTCTGCCCTCCATTCCATTGTAAGGAGTGAAAGCTTCAAAGATAGAAGTCAATTCACGGCTTTGTTGCTTTACTACATTACTTGGGACCTTCTTCATCCTTGCAGCAGGTGTCCCTGGATTTGGAAAGCAGATTAAAAATAGAAAATAACATGAAGTAGATGCCATTACGCGCTTCGTCCATTATGGTGTGGGTACCACAGCTATAAATTTTCATAATACACTCAAGGTGAAAACTACATACTAGATGTTAAAATGACCAAGGTGTGCACACGCAATGCAGCAGTCCCTCAAACTACAAAAAGAAATAACTGATGTCTTTCCCCATATAATATGCATATGATATAGTCATGAGTTTTCATAATGGAGCAACTCAATTTACATTTGATGATCCAGAAAGAAATGGACAAGAAACACAGGAAAATAAACAATTACACTGAATAACACCATAATTATTGCCCCGGTCAATTCAAAAAGTCGTCAGATTTTAACTTTGACCTACTCTTTTTAATTGATTTTAACAGAGTTAATATCTTCAGTAACCTTTTTGTTAAATATATACTAATTAACTTGAAAACAAAATACTAGTCGCAAGTATGTCATATTGGTTTTGAAAAATCACAAAGGGTCAATTATTACCCGACCAAGGGTGTACCAAATATCTCTAGTGACATATATGATTTCACAATCTAGAAATTACATGTCATATCACTATCTTAGATAGTTCACTCGAGCAGTTTCACTCAAAAAGTGTACCAGTAACCTACTGTGAAAACTATTATAGAAATATGCAATTAACAAGTGAGACATGGTAAATTACAGAAAATAAAGGACCGCGAACTGGACATCTGAGTCTGCAAACTAACCTGGGAATCTACATATTATATCGGTAGCAATCTGCATTTCTGGAACTAGCTCAGTCAAGGTGTCAACCACAGTCCTGAATACATTCACAGTGTATTCTCAATTCATTGCCTGACAACAAGACCCTGTATATCTACATAGGAGATCCCATACAATGATATTTTCTAGCAGCCACCCTAACATAAATTATAAAACCACAGCTGGAATCGTTGTTAGGGTTGCAGGGGTAAGGAGAAGCCACTATCAGCACTAAAAAGAAAAGATCAACAATATTGGGACATACAGTCAAAATGGCATCACTTCCAGCCGGCATGGTACATGAAGAAAGGAGTACACACATGGATGGCGCAAAACTTCTGCTATCTCTTTCTAGTGTTCAGGAATGAAAGGTGGATTTGTCATCCCAATTCGAACCATTGTGCTTGCATCAGAAGGAAGTTCAGCAACAATAGCATTCAATAATATTGGAAGATTAACCCCAATTTCACAACCTGTAAGGTTTCAGGAAATTCAATCTGTTCAACAATTTGTATTGTGAAGAACCAGTATAATTAATATCTCAACTTATTTTGTTTCTAAGCATTAAACTTTTCACGAGTCATGGAACAAAACTCTTTCTGCTGAGCAGCAACATGCTATTTCACTGCATGATATGAACATGGTGAATTTTATAATTAATTTTTCACAATGCGAAGCATGTACATAGGTAAGAAATGTTGATGATCAGCAGCACCTTCAAACAGTAACATAGCAAAAATAAGCATCTGTTGTTTATAGACCATGGAATGATGTGTGACAATCATTTTAATAGAGAATTCGTTAGAAACAAGATTTCTTGACAGAAAATAATCTCATATCTGCAGCAGATATCCAATGGTAGAAACATCAGAAAATTACCACATGATCCAGTGTCTTCACTACTCAACCATATCTCCTTTACTCCATCAGCTACAACTGTTTTTACACGCTGTGTCTGGAGATGAAAGTTTAGATGTTTCTAAACAAATTTGTTCTTCCGCACCTGTTGTGAGAATCAGGTTAAATCCATGTAAATTATAACCATATGAAGAATAGATTGTGATTTTAATTAATTAAGAATCAGAGCTTCTCATTAAAAAACAAACAAGATCAACATTAAAGAACCTCATTGAAGAAAATGTAGAAACATTACAATTCAAATCTAGACTTTGCACCTTGGGGAGGGAGGTCAAGTGCTGCAACGTCTTGCGGTCAAAATCCGCACTTCATGACCTTTTAAAGCTCCGACTTCAACTATATGATCTGTTTACTGGACTCCAACTATACTGACTCCTGGTTCTTTCATGTTCCGACTTCCTTGAGGCACACACCCAGCCACCGCCAAGAAGAGATAACCTACAACTATTAAGCAACATGACAACCCCGACACAGAATGGGCGTGAATCCTACCCTAGATCTCCGCAGCCATATCCAGATTGCTAACAACTTGACAATTTGAGATTTATTTAAAAATTCGATAATAAATGTGTTAAAAAGATGAAATGAGCACATCAGAGACAAAATTTGAAGTTCAACCTACAACTGCCATTGCATAGACATTTAAAATTGTTTCAATCACTCGTTGTAAAAATCAGACTTATAAAAGCTTATGTCGTTGTTGTAAAAATCAGACTTATAAAAGCTTATAATTTTATGAGTTAACATGTATTGAACGTTCAAATTCATATTAAAAACTCGAAAATTATTATAAAAAACTATTAAACATGTTATGTAAAAAACACCTTGTTTTATTGATTTGTTAAACGCAATTTTATTTTTTGATTAAACAAGGCCGGTTCATTACTAGAGATCATGAACCAAATCAAGTATATAAAACACATTTTAATTTGCACGTAAATCATAAGACAAATTGACCTGCAGGCTAATCTAAGTTTTAAAACAATAGCCCAAGGAAGAACATGTACATATATATATGATCAGATTACAGTACATAAAGTGTTTGCAAGTCGAGATTAGGGCTTTTTTTCTTTTTTTTTAATCAGCTCTTAAGCTTTACCACATCCAAAGCAAACTGGTGCATTAAAAACGTTTTCTTCCCTTCCCACCTGTCCTAAAAATTGAACGTAAATGGTAAGCCTTTCTAATTATATGAAATTTTTCAAGAACACAATAAACGTACTCATGTCCATAAACTGGTTTACAGGCTTCGAGTTTTCAACTTTGGTTTACAATTAATTTAGACAAAAATAACGTTTCAAGTTTTAGTTATAAATTATTTGAATTATCCTCTACATATTGCTCGTAGAATTTTATCTTCTTTTTTTTTTTCCAATTTTGAGAATTACTTTGTAGTTGAAGATAGAGTAGCATTGCAAAATTCTTTACCCGCTTCCGTATCCAATATTGCAATGTTAACAGTCAATACACAAAGAGTATAAAGTTGTTATTTCAAGACAGAGACGTGAAGTTTAATAATCAACACCTCAGAGTAAAGAAAGCAGTCCTGACCATTTTTTTTCCACAAGCACATTCCATGAAGAATTTATTGCAGCTGTTGGAGCAACTCAGGCCAAGGCAAAGGAAATGGAGGGCACCTTCAAGATGCAGCCCCCCTGTGGCAGTGCACCAGAAGTGACTCTGCCTAGCACTTGTAAAAACCATTTTGCAGAAAGGAAAGAACAATGCATTCTCTAAATACCGACTCACAAACACAAACAGACAAACTTATTGCTATGTAACTGTTGAGGGGGGCATCCAAGGCATTTTTTATAGAACACAAGAAACAAACTTTGCAGCCGATTGAAATTTCCTTTTGAGAGTGTGTATATCAAGTCTACATATAAGATGTAATTCATGCCTGAATTAAGAGGGCATTTTCACGCCTTTGCATATTTTACAAACAACTATATACTTTCATTTTTCTATTTATTTATGTAAACAGTTATTTACTTTTTCCGAGAACTGGACACTCTTATGTGTGCTTACAACAGTCATATAGCGCATGCAGAAGCTAGCTTTCGATCTTTTCTACCTTCTCTTCCCCAATAATCCATCTCGTCAACCAACTTGGATCTGCAGCAAAGGATTTGCATGACATTGGTACAATCCCAAGATCAGCACCAATGCGATCATAATCCATGAGAGCATCTTCCATCTCTGCTTCAACAGCGGAATCATCTAAAACATCAATTGCGTTCATGCGTAGAACATCAGCATAGTGTTTCTCCCTATCCAGATCATGCTCGAAGGGCTCCATAGCTGCCCCCTGCTGGTCCAATTACCGTTTGTTAAAATAACAAATGTTCAATGAACTATGAATTAGACATTCATTTCAACGTTTTGCTCTCTCTCTCTCTCTCTCTCTCTCTCTCTACACACACACACACACACACACACACAGTATGAAACACAGCACTGTGCAAAATATGGCATGCCAAGAAGGTTTCATCAGGTTGTAAATGTCTCCGTGCCTATTTGTCAAGTGTACTTGGAGCCTAAATCAATTTACCTGGCACAATTCAGCATAATGTTTATATATTTCACTGCTTTCATCTTGATCACCTAATAGTGTGCCACCATACCAGCCGCTTTCATCAACTGCAGTCATTGCAAGGTACCTTGAAACCGAACCACAACCGGACAATTGCCATTGATTTGAGTTGCCACAAAAATTAATAGATAAATAAACAAAAAGAGTACGAATCATAGAAATTGCAACCACATGACTAGCATGAATTTTAAATTTAGTGAATATAGTTGCAGAATCAATTAAAATTCTTAATCAAAGAGCAGTATTCAAATTTTTATCATCCAACTTAGAAAACTAATAGGAATTTGCATACGCATGCCCACACGCTGACATGCATTTACATGTGAATGGTGATAGATAATTTTGCCCAAGACTCAAGCTATAGCCAAAAATGCCAGCTTGAGCAAGCAAAGTATGAGGTGTTTAGATCCATTCTTGGTTCACAAACCATTAATAAAGCTCAATTTTGACTAATAGAAAGCCAATTTGGTCGGCATTGCATTCAGAAACGAAAGTCTAAGAGTAATGTATTCTCTCTGGAAAATGGGAAGACAATATCTAAAAGTACCTTTGGAAGATATCCTCTTCGTTGATATCATCAACAGAAGAAAGCAAATTTAATTCTGAGTAACCATCAACATAAATCTCTTTCTGAGATGCTCCATTTTCAATTTCACTTTTAGCAGCCTTGGGGGCATTGCCACTCTCTTCATACTTTTTCTGGCCAAAAAGCCAATTTGGGCTTTTGAGTTGTATTTCACTGCAAAAGAAAGCATATTCAGTGAGTATAGCAAGCACTTGAAAAAAGTCACGAATACATCTTACAAACTTCATGCACCCAAGCAACCCATTTCAGAGCAGGCAAGAGGCAAGTGCGAATCAAAATCAGAACTACGGACAAAATAATGAAAAAAATTTACAATCAATGGACCATTTTAAGAAATTTCTCCAATGCAAATACACTGTGTCTAAAGGATAAGGACATAAATCAGCATAAACTACATCAAATTGTTACTTTTGCCAATTCCAAACTAGGCAAAATACTGAAAAAATCTCAATTTGCTAAACTTTTTTAATGTGTTTTTGAAATTATCAGTATCCTTGAAGAAATCCTAATATTCCTTTAGCTTATTTACATCTCATTTTATGTCTCAATACCAAACCTGCTAAGGGCTAAGAAGGAAGAAAACAAACCAATAAACTTTGTACTAAATGCAAAGAGCTATGTTTCACTACACTAAAAGGGCCAAATAATAAGGCCAAAAGTTTCCTATGATCCTTTCAACTAATGCGGTATAGTCAGTGCTGAAATAAATAAACACAAAATTTGTATAGTAATGTGAGGCACAGCACATCCTGGATAACAGTTTGAAGACATCAGAAACTCATGCAACTGATGATTTAAGAAAACTGAACCACGCATAAAAGATGTCTGCACTTCAGAGGTAAAAACAGATTTGTGCACCCAAACGCATCCAACAGAGAGAAAAAAAATGATAAAATCAGGCAACAAGTTAACAGCTCTAGTCAAGGGAAAAATTACGCTGCATCTGGAGCCACACCAGAATTTCCTGCACTGCCACCTGGTCTGTGATCAGGTTCACTATAAAGTCTTACATTCTTTACAGTACTACATGTCCGGTCAATCAATTTATCAAATGATGTCAACTTCATTCTTGAAAAATCCTCCCTGCAAGCTGGAATAGGGGCAAGAGTTATTCCAACTCTTACAGGCTTAGCATTGGTTTCCAAATTGCTGTTGAAGTAAGATACAATAAAATAATCAGAAGATGAGATGTATTGAATTTGAACCAACCTACTCTAATTTTTTTTTCTTTTTTTAATTTACCACTTATCTGGACAGGGGTCTTCTTCTTCTATTGCATTCCCATAGACATGAAGATAGTAGTCTGAATCTAACTCCCAAAGAGGAGATTTCCCTTCCTGTGGTTGAAAGTAGCCAAGAAATCTGGAAAGCATCAAAGAGATAATCTCAGAATACACTCACAGAAAATGCATGCCAAAACTAGTATTAGATGGCATTTGGTATTGTGGAGCAAGGTGCTTTTCGCTTGAAAATGCATCAAAATATTATTATTTTTTTCATTTTTTACACTAGTACATCAAAACCATTAGAAAGCACTAAAAAAAAACATTAATTTGATGTTTTTTCATGTCAAACGCACTTTTAAAACGCAATGCCAAACAATCTCTTAATCATACAAAATAAGTTAAGAAAATAAAAAAAATTAATATTGCATACAAATATAATCAAATACTGAAGTACACACACTAATAAAACATGGAATATAGTTCTAGCTTTTTGTGTTTGGTTTTGGTTATATGTAACAAAACCTACACTGTGGTCTTGGAATTCCCAGAATTCAGTCAAAAGTTTCTGATTTAGTTTGTTAGATATATCTCTTATCCACATATGAAATATGAAACTTATTGAAAATGGAGTCCATGGTTGGAAAATCATAGATATTAAGAGTAGAAGCCTCTCCAAAGAGGATACATTTCAAATAGAATATGATTCATATTTTACTAAACAATAATTTAAAAAAAAAGTGTTTCAGGCAAAAATAATAATGAAGTGCATTTTGGTATCTTTACAAAAGTTGACATGCACACTTATCTATATAGTCTCCATAATCAAGAACTAGTGACGATAAAATCTGGAAATCAAAAACTCCCTTGAATTTACAAAATCTGTTTGGGCATTGAAAATTCACCTCATTTGCTTAGCCAGAGAATGTAAATTATGCAATAAATCAAGTAGAAAGCGCGATGGAAAGAACAGTTACAAATTTATAGCATCTTGCTTTTCACCATCAGTGTATGCATTACTGTAGTATCGCTTGATAGACTTGATAAACTCCCTAGATTGTGTTGTAGCTTTCCACTTTCCCTGCCTCTCAAGGAACACCTGAAAAAGTCCAGGCCTTGATATGATGACCACAGTTATGAGCAAATTAGATCATAGAAACCGAAGTTATTCGAGAGAAAGCATACAGTGTTATGAGCAGCAGAACCACCATATTGCTGGGCAAGAGCATCCCCCATACTTTGATACATATCCATAAGAGCAGCAGCAATGGAACTATCAGGATCGACTTTGGGCATGTCTGTTAGACCCATTGCAAGGAGCTGGCGTCCTAAAGCTGCCAGACCATAAGCATACTGAGCAACATTTGTACGATCCAAGCAGTCAATGCAGTTGGTACGTAGAACTCCACTTTGAAAACTTGGTCCTTCAGCACCAACCTTATCTTGTTTTTTCAGTTGACTAGAATCACCCTCTCTATCCCAATTAATCAAAGAATTTAGATTCTCATTATTACTTCCAATCCTTGCAAGATCCCCTGAATTGACTCTTAGATCTCTAAGAGAAGCGTCCCTGTAAAGAATAAAGTCAACTATTTATGAAACCCACAGTCTACATAATCTTGTTTTGAAAGGAACCTCCCATTTCCTGCTCCATAATTTTCTCTGAAATTGGAGGTTTTCATTTCAAAAACAAAAGCAATGAAATGATAAAGCAAACAGCCTTGACAGAAAGACATGGTCAATTTTATGCTTTTCAGCAACAGAGACACTAAATTGCCAAAAGAAAAGAAGACACCCTGGGTTACAGAATTTCCAAGCACAAAAGAAAGCTTTCTACTTTCAGGTTTCTTAAGGTCCAAGGTTACCATGCTTGTAATTGATTATAATACCTTTTTACAAATGCAAGGGATAGATCACACACTTAACAGTCATTTTTTTTCCAAATTGCAATGATTATAAAAAAAAAGAAAGAAGAAAATCTGACCATCCACCACAGCACATGTTCTTGAAGTTATAATGGTAAAAGCTGCTTCAAAATCTTCATATCGTGCGTGCATTAATCGTGAATATTCGATGACCTTGAATTACATAACTGTAATATAACTTATCGCTCTCTCACACACATTGGCACCTTAATGGTGTTTTTTTTACAATGAATTGCTACTAACACTTCAACACCCATGGTTTAAAAACAAAATTCAAAGACCAAAATAACCAAAATAAAATGGGACGATGGATGACCCAAAATCTCAGAAACTGAATATTAGGCATTGAAAAACTTTATATCCAAGAGACCTGAGTT